CCGGGTTGGCCGGGTTTTGGCCGGGTTTGTCCGGTTCCTTTGTTGTCCGGTCCAATTACCCCACCCGGACTGATTCCAGTTCCGGGTCGACTCGCCGGGCCGATCCGGGTTGAAAAACACTGGTCAGCACAAAGTTTTGATAATTTTTAATTAATTATTTACTTTGGATATATTTTATAATTTATAGATATAATTTCAAATCAACACAAATTTAGGGGTGGTGGCAATGAGTGGTAACATCAACCATTCGAGGATTCGAGGAGTTGGGTCGAGTTGAGTTTTCACGAACTGAACTAAGCTTTTGTAGCTGTTAGCATAGAGCTTTGGTAATTTCAACCATCCGTCAACACTTTTTGAGTTTGCTAAACGAGTTGAGTTGAGCTTTCAAGAGCTTACCTGACTCGAGCTCGACCCAAAATTTTGGCTCGTTTATTAAACAAATTTTTGGCTCAAATATGAAGTGCTCGTCTCAACTTAAATAAAACGCCTAACCGCTGTATACCAAATACGAACACGACACGAATACAAAATAAGATTATACAGATGAATGGCATGATTGACAAACAAAACACAAGACGAACAATACAAAATATATAAAATAATAATATTTAATTTTTTGGTTTTTCATCATATCTATCACAAGTAAAATATATAACTCGAAATCATAGTGAAACACAAACTCGAAATAATAGCATGACTTGATGCCTCTACACACATTTATTAAACTAAAAAAATTATATATATATATATATATATATAAGTTTACAAATCAATAATCTCTATTTTAAATATAACTAGTGCGTATCCCGTGCTATGCACGGATATATAAATTTAGAGAATATTATAATTTGACATGCATTAGGATATATGAGAGTTTAATACATACGAATATTATTTATCATAAAATGTTCGTCACTAAAAAAATTTATATTATTAAAAACCTCTTTGTATACAACATATGAGTTTGATTATTGGGTAACTCGTTGTGAGGAGCATAGGCCGACTCGGGCCGGACGCGGGCTGCACAAAGGGCTGCGGAAATTGGGCCTCCCTCAATTGGGCTCCCTTGTTGGGCTTCTATCTTGGGCTGCAAATGCTGATTGTTGTCGCCAAAAAAATTGCCCCAACGCTTGGACAATTTTCTAATTTTCAACTATATTATAATTTATATTTTATTCCAAGTATAACTTTTTCACTCCTATTTTATGAAGATAGTTATTTTACATTCCTAGCTATACTAATAAAGTATATTTTTAGTTTGAATCATGTAACTTCCTTAATAGTGAGTTGAATAATTTATAGATAGAAACATAATTTAATGATTCCCTCTAATTTCTCTCCCTCTCCCTTTTTCATATTTCATAGTATTTCACAATTTTCTCCAAATAAAATAAAAATTTACATACAACAATTATTAGGTTGACCATCAAATAAATCAAAATAAGACTGTAAATAAACGTAAAATTTTCCTTAATAATTTCTATATTGTTTTGAAAATAATAATTGCAATGTTTCAGGTTCAACACAAAATTGGTTTGTTTGTTTTTTTATTAACTGTTTATAAATAGGCTATCTATCTTAATTTTTGTTCAAAGTTGGTTTATTTTTTATTTTTATCATCAGATATATCATGTTAGTCATTATTGGACATAAATATGCATTTAGATTTTAACATGCATTTAGATTTGATGATAAATATGTATTTAGATTTTAACATGTGCAATATAAATGTAAAAAATACAAAAAATATAATAACGCTAAATTTAGTTTATTGGACATGTGCACAACAATTAGAAAAATGTGTTTTTCTAAATTATTAAATTTTCAGGATAAATGAATTGCCAAATCATAAATTTCCGCAAGCAAGGAGCTTGATCTAATATATTATTCGAGATTTCAGTGCCGGTGGCCGTTTTTTTACGGTAATGCAAGTAGAATTTGGGTAAAGCCGAATGGAAAACGTTTTTGCAAATCTGTGGATGAGAATGAATTTAGAAGAGTTGTATTTATAAGAATATGTACATTATTAAAATCTGAAAAGAATAAAGAGTCCCAAGAGTTGGAAACCGTGTAATTGATATTTAATTAAACATATAAATTATCGATCTACATATTATAAATGATATGTTTAATTTTATAATACAATACAAGTTAGATTTGTTTCCAACCACTACATCTTATAATAAAAATCCCAAAACATGGAAACAATATAATTTTAAATTTAGTTAAACATAAAAAATGGGTTATAAAAATTATAGTTGATTACAAAGTATGTTTAATTTTAGAATTCCAATTAAATTGGATTTGTTTACAACAAACAGAGGTTATGTCAAATTATAAATCTAATTTTGTTTAGATATCTAGAATATAAAACCCTTTAAAAGAGTTCCAACAGATGGAAACAATATAATTTTTAACTTTTTAAAACATAAAAAATAGGCTAATTAAAAAAAATATATAATTTTATATTTCCCTTAAAATTGGGATTATTTACAGGAAAACAAAATCGTGTTACTAACTTATATGATAAGTAATTAGAAATAAAAACACGTGCTTAAAAAATTCTAATTATAAAAAAAAATAGTTTTATGTCATATCAAAAAGTATTAATACACGTGTTATAGAAACAAAGTCAAATATCAAATATAATTGTATTCATACATTTTTCGAATAAAATTTTATGCAATATTATGTAAAAAACAAATTAAGTGAATAGTAATCATTAAAGTGAATAGTATTCATTATAAGAAATTGAGCCGCATTTTTTGGGAATGTTTATACCAAATTAATTACTAAAAATCTCCCGCACTTTATGGACATTTAATAGTTGAACGTGAAAAAAAAAGAAAAGGGAAAAGAAGTTGCCATTAATAGTAAATAATTAATGAAGAAAGAGATTTGACCAAAAATTGACCTGCCATTTTTGAAAAATGGTAAATCTTTTTATATATATATAGATAAAATAAGTCTGAATATGATATGTAGTTAAAATATTAGTGTATATATTTTGAATAATAAGTTTGCTAAAATTGAGTATTAACAACTAATTATATTTAAACTTGTTTTTATGAATTTGAGAGAAAAAATAAAAACTACAAAACTTATTTTCATAAATAAATAATTATAACAATCTAAATTTAAAAAAAAAAAAAAAAAAGGTAGGAAACAAAACCGGCGTGTTTGGTACGGGCACTTTCAGCCCAATTTGCACGTTTGGAATAAAGGAGTGCAGCCCATAACTTGTCCGCAAGCCCATTTAGTAGCACAACTTTTCAATTTTCATGGACTCAAGAATCGTATTTCGTTTTTTAAATAATCCCCGAGTACCACGATTTTAGTTCCCTTCTCCATTTCTTCGTAAAATTGGCGCCACACCAGCTAGAACAAAAAAAACCCTAATTCTTGGCTGCTGGGCAAATTTCGGTGTGCTAAAGTACAGAGTAAATGATTACGTCTGTGTCTAAATCAGTGAGATTTTCTCGATTGAGCTTCTTCTCAACCTTTCGCGTCTTGTCTGCTATCTCTTCACAATCCAAGGTATGTTGTACGCGCAGAGGTGTATCTTCATGTTGAACCTTATTCAAATATGATGTTTATGCAAGTAATTTTGGAATCCCTTTTAAAACTATTTACGAGCTTATTATTTGTTTTTCAGAATTTATGCGCGTGTAGAAGGACACAGAGCACTTATGCTTCGCCGACTGGTAAAGATTGCATTTTTATTGATGTTTTTTTTTTTTGTTTTCCTGTTTGTAATGCCTATTGTGTGTTTTGTTAGTGTTGGGTAGTTTTATTTTGTAATAATTTGTTCGAATTTAACTTTGTGCTACTGTTCTTTTGGCTTTGTTTCTTGTACCAGCTGAAAACTCAGAATATGCATTTGACGACCATATTCCGGATGACACAAAGGTGACAGCGAAAGATGCCGCGCTGCGTATGGCTTTGTCGAAGCTTTCGGGTGAATTTGGTAAAGAATCGATGCTCTCTTTGCAGCGATTCTTTGGTGCCAGACGGGCCTCCGTAGTACCGACGGGCTCGTTGAGGCTGGATCAGGCCCTTGGTATTGGTGGATTGCCAAAGGTTTTGTTCTTGCTTATTAAATTGGATATGCACTTTGATAGTGTTTGGTTGAGTTGATTATAGGATTGAAGATATGTATGTAGATGTGGGTGCATTTTGTTTTCTCCTTTGATTTAAATGATGCCCGTTTGGTTGTGTTGTCGTATATGATCACTTATAAATATTTAAATTATTTACTCCGGATATCACTATACCGTTGGGAAATATAAGTGGCTCTGATAGATCTTATTGATTTTATCAGGGAAGAATGGTTGAAATTTATGGTCAGGAAGCATCCGGGAAGACAACATTGGCACTTCATGTTATTAGGGAGGCTCAAAAACTTGGAGGTGGTCATTTACCTTCATTGAAACTTTCTCTTTCTCTTTCTTTTTGTTTTTACCTGATTGGTTAAATGTAATGAACTCTTGAAATCTAAAACTTGTATTAGCATTGGAAATATGCTGGCAGTGCAAAAAGAGAACTGTAAATCCATTTGTTTAAATAGCACATATTAAAGAGGTACCCACCACTTCACACATGACCGGTAACATATCATGCATAAATTGTTTCTACAATAGCCTGGAGTATTTTTGGTAATGGTTTCTATTAATTTTGCTCCTCATTTTGATTTTGGCTGTGTTCTGGCTTGTGCAGTCCTTATAATGTTTAAATGTCGATGCAGCTCATCCAGAAAAAAAAAAAAGAAATAAAAAAAATCCTTACTATACATAAATTTGAAAAGCAAAATTTGTTATTTTAGAATATGATGAACTTGAAAAGGTAAATTCAACTGGGTTATGGAAAAGGAAAATAAGAAAAAGGGTTAAGAGGAATTGTAATTTATGATTTTTAAAAGGTTTTCACTTTTATTCTTGCTCTCAGCCTCACTTATCTTAGTTATTTCATCAACTTGTCACGTGCTTCCTTTACTTCTTTGTGCTTAATTATTACTCATTTTTCAACTAACTTTCTGAATTAGGGTACTGTGCCTATCTTGATGTGGAGAATGCAATGTGCCCTTCCCTTGCTGAAGCAATAGGTGTCAACACGGACAATCTCCTTATTTCACAGCCAGATTCTGCTGAAAACTTACTTAGTGTGGTAGATACATTGACAAAAAGTGGATCGATTTCTGTAATTGTTGTTGACAGTGTACGTATCTGCAGCCTTACCTACTTATCGGCTGAATATGTGAATACATTTGCATTGAACATTCATAAAAAATGATACTAATGGTGTTTTTTCTAACCTAATAGCTTAATCTTCGAAGTTTATCATTTTTTTTTTTCCTTTTTATTTATTTTCTCCTTTTCACTTTTATTGTAATGCTTTGCAGGTAGCCGCACTTGTTCCCCAATGTGAAGCCGACACATTGGAATATGGCTCTTTTATGGACTTACAATCGAAAATAATGACACAAGCCCTACGGAAAATACATTATAATCTATGCAATTCTGATACTCTCATTATTTTCATCAACCAGGTCAGCAATGGTATAAAACTTCAACTTTCTTGCATATCCGCATTTTATGCAATATTTGATCAATTTTTCTTTATCACTTTTAGGTGAGAAAAAAGTTGAAAGTGGTTGAAGGATCTGTTCATGCGGAAGAAGTCACGTGTGGAGGAAATGCCTTGAAATTTTACGCTGCTATACGGCTACGAATTAGCAGGAAGGAACTGATAAAGGCAGCAGATGATAAGGCAAGCCTAATGAGTGTGTACATATTTATTTCATATTTCACGTATCTATATTTCTATTATTTTTATAAAAAAATTATATGTCTTTTCTACGATAACTATATATTCAGGTGATGCTTAGTAAAACTAGTTGATAGTTGATAAGTTAACTTATACTAGTTTATAAGTAATTTTCGAGCTTATAGCTGAAATGCTAGCTTATAACATAAAAGTGTTTCGTAAAATTAGCTGATAAGTTAGCTGAAATAAAATTTCAACAAGCTTATTTAAAAAGCTACCGATAAGTTCGAGTATTAAAAACTCTTCCAACCAAATGGAGCTTATTTGAATACCAGAAGCTTGTAAGCTAACCGAATAAGCTATCTTATTATGTTACCAAACATAGCTTCAATCTTTGAAACTCTAATATAACTGCAAATCATTGGTTTTGCATGGGGGAAAAATAAATAAAAATTAAAATGCAAGAATATCAAATTTTCTCGTCTACCTTTTTCTGCATATGAAGATATGATGATAATTATTAGTATATGCTGGCAGGCTATGGGACTCGGGATCTGTGTGCAAGTTGTGAAAAACAAGTTAGCTCCTCCAATGGAGAAAGCGGAATTAAATATACGGTTCGGAAAAGGAATCGCTCGGGCATCAGAGGCATTGGATTTGGCCTGCGAGCATGGGGTCATCGTGAGAGATGGAGACAGATATTCTATAAAAGGGAAAATCATGCACAGTCGAGAGGAAGTTTTAAGGTATCTGGCGCTAAACGAGAAAGCTCTGGACGACATTGTGAAAACTTTAAGGTGTCATTTGTTTGAGAGGCAAATGGGCTAAGAATAGTGTTGATTCAAACAGTTCATGTAAATAGACTGAGGCTCTTTTCTTTGCCCTTTGTGGAATTGTTGTGTTGAGGCCATTTTAGTTTGAATTGGATTGTGTAATGTGAGATAGGATTTTGTGTGTTGTATAAGACCAACTATTCTATTTATATTTAGGAAAAAAAAAAGTAAAATAAAAAATCTGAATTTTGCTTTTTATATCATATAAATAAAAATACGACATTTCGCATTAGAAAGTGTGGCTATCTAATAAAAATATGACATTTCACATTAGAAAGTGCCTTGCATAAATTTGGGCAAGTCCAATTAATTGAATTGATTAGCAATGTGTCATGTTTGCACGGTTTTGCTATGAAGCCAACTGTTGGCCTCAATAATGGAAATTGATAATAATGAAAATTTTCTATTAACTACAGTTTTGTTATGAAGCCAACAGTTGGTCCCAATAATGGAAATCGATAATAATGAAAATTTTCCATTAACTAGACTCATAATCTAGATTTATATACCCTGGATAACAAGATGGTCTCAAGTTAAAAAAAAATAAAAAAATGGCCAATTCATGTTTATCATCTGCTGTACTTATGAAGCTAATTGCTCTGTTACTTCTTTGCATTGACCCAACAGGTTTCTTTCTTTCTTCTTTTATTTTTTTTTCAATAAAACTCCTATATTAAATTTAAATACATGATTCATAAACATCTCTTCACATGAAACTTTTGCACTCAGTTATGAGAAGAACTGATTTTTACTTGGGATTAACTAAGATTTCATGCCTGAACATGTGCAGATGCTCAAGTAGGAGTCGTTTTCGGAACTAAAACTCGAAAGCTACCACACCCGAAAGAAATAGTTGCGCTTTGCATCAAACACAACATCAAGCGAATGCGAATTTACGAGCCAAACCACGAAATCCTCGAAGCACTAAAGGGCAGCAATATATCACTCATTCTCGGAGTTTCGAACAAAGATATCCCCATAATCGCCTCAAACTGGTCCTTCGTGCAATCGTGGGTCGAAAAAAACATCGTCAGCTTTAACGATGTCAATTTCCGGTAAGTAAGCTATACGGTGACACGGAATGTGCATTTTAGTCCTTCAACTTTAGCGGTTTTGTAAAAAAGGCTCGGTTTTTCGACACTTAGGTACATAGCAGTTGGAAACAATATCAGCCCATTAGACAAAGCCACAGAAAAATACGCGCCTCACGTGGTCCCTGCCATGCAGAGCCTCGAGAATGCGCTCACCGTAGCTCGTTTTTCGAAAAAAGTCAAAGCAAAAGTCAACGTCTCGACTGCCATAAGCCCGGATCTCCTCATCCCTTTCCGAACCCCTTCCGGGTCGGTTTTCGCTCGGGAGGTCCGGGCCCTCATTCACCCAATCCTCGACTTTCTCGGAAAATATGGCTACCCTTTGCTAGCCAACTTGCACGTGTACTTACCTTATGTGAAAAACCCGAAAAACACGAGCCTCGATTACGCGCTTTTCACTTCCAAACGTGCCGTGATGTATTTTTCGGTCGAGAAGTACGGCGTGAGTAATGTGGAGATTGTGGTCACCGAAACAGGCTGGCCCACACAAGGCGGGCTCGAGGCCAGCGTGAAGAACGCGAGGATTTATAACGGTAATTTGATCCAGCACGTGAAGAAGGGAGGGAGCCCGTTTAAGCCTGATAGTCCCGTCGAGACTTACGTGCTCGGGTTATTTGACGAGGATATGAGGGGGCCCGGGTATGAATATGATAAGCACTGGGGGATTTTTAATGCTAAGGGACAGCTCAAATATCCTGTTGTGTTTGAATGAATGTCTGATTTGAAATAAAAGAAGTTCAAATTATGGTTGTGGTTTTGCTACCTGTGAGCTACATTAAGGAGATAGTAAAATTCATATAATGTAACATTTATCATCATCACATTGTAATAATATTCAAATTGTACCAGAACAGAGGAAAGCCAAAGTTTGAAGAATTTGTTTTTGAAGAAAAAAGACCAAGGAAAATAAAAAATGAACAAGAAAGAAATAAATGAATAAAGAAAGGTTCAATATTCTTAGGTTCAGTAAAAAAAAAAAAACTTAAAAATCGCGTTTAAACGAGCTCCAAGAAGAGAGCCCGAGCTTGTTGTACGGCGAGATCTCGCCCGAGAAAGTCTCGCACAATCTCAGCCGTTGCTTAGGCGTGCTGTGAGACCGACACCTGGCCCTTGCGGATTCTGTCGGGGCCATATACGTTGGGAGAAAACCCGGAGAATTCGGGAGGGATCGGTTTTCTCCGTCGAGCGATGACTTTTTTTCCTTCACTTGGCAAAAGGATCGTCTCGGCTGGGAAAACGGCGAGTTAATTAGCTCGTCCGCCTTTTCTTGCCTGCACGACGAGGCTCTCGTCTTGAGCTGTGCCAGCTGGCTTTCCTCGAGTTTCGTGGTGTTTGAGCGCGTGAGATGTCTCGGGTTTTCATCTTCTAGCTCAATGAGCTGGCTGAACAACCGGCTGCTCTTTCTGTTGTTTTCTTTATGGGACATTGGTTCTTGAAGGCTATGATCATTTCTTCTTTCCTAGTCGAAAAAAAAAACGATCAAGAAAAGTCGAATTTTTGCACGAGGTTGATCTATATTGATCGAATTTCAGCAAAAATAAAGGATTTACTCGGTGGGAAAACGAATATTGCTTCATGCGTTCTCTTTTGGCAACGGCTTCTCGTTTTTGTAGGTACAATTCTTCCATGTCTTCCTTTGAAGCCAAACTCAAATCCCAACTCCTCTGGCTGTGGCTATGAAGCTGCCAAGCAAACAAACACGAATACGAATATGGTTTTTTTGTTATTAATTTTTTCCCAAAAAAAAGGCCTACAAACACACACTAACACGCACGGCGCGAACTTACTCTTCCTTCTTCGTATTTGATTCTGTCTTTTCGGTTAAGACTATGTAACCTCTCGCATTGACTAAGGTAATCGAGTAGAATCGGAACTCTCTTTCGTTGCACGTGAGTTTTCGACTCGGGCAGTAATAATAAAGACATTGATGATGGCAATGTCTTAAAGACTCGACGCCTCACGAGCTCTCCTCGAACCAAAGCTTGAAGCCTCACTAATCCTTTCAGTGCACTCAATGCTTTTCTTGCCTGTTAAAAAGATTAAAAAATATTGTCGATTGCAGCAAAAGCAGAACTAGTCGAAAACCGAAGCTTTGTAAGTACTCACAAGATGTCCTCTGTAAGCACTCTGAATCTTGACAGCGGCAAAACCAAGATTTGCGGCTAGGTTTTTTCCGGATGAAACGCTCGTCAGCCGGACAACCTCCGCAGCCGCATTTGCTGCCGCGACAGCCGCCTCGGCTGCGGCGGCAGTTGCAACGGCCACAGCCAATGCTCGTTTTCTTTGTTCTTCGGTTACCTCGTGTAGTGTTCTCTTCTCAGGAGCTTCTATTGATGGAT